ACACACACACACACACACACACACACACACACACACACAGTACTGTCAGCAAGAGCTAGAGCTGGCCATAACCCAGGAAAAGCACCGGACTTGTCTGAAGGAGGTAGGTACCTCTCACACACATGCACAGGCGCACGCACACTCACACACGCACACACACACACACATATACACACACACACACATGCACAGTAGTCTGTTTTTGTTTTGTTTGCTTATTCATTTGTTTATGGTGTTGTCTGTATGTGTGTTGTTGGCGGATACTCTGGTGCAGTTTACTCCTCTGTTCCTATTAAACATCTATAGTCCTTATCTCTCCTTCTTTTCTACATAAGTTGCTCTCTAGTAACACCTCCAATCCTCAGCACTTATATGACCTATTTATGTTGCAAGTGCCTTAAAACTCTTACTAAAACTGAACCAGTCTTCGACGCATGAATGACCCAGTTGGGTTGCAAGTGCAGTAAAACTTTTACTGAACTTACAGTTGTATGTGTGTATTTGTCACAGGTGTCCAGCCGTGACCAGGTGATTCTCAAACTCCAGTCTGACCTTGACACTGCCCAGCAGAAGTACCAGGGGAGTGTCGACGAGGTGAGGTGTCTGACTTCTGCTTATCTAGTATACTTGTATTGGAAAGGGGAGGGGGAGGGGTTGTAATGTGACTGTCTGTTCAATTGTTGTCTCTGTCCGTTCAAACATTGTCTGTCAGTCTGTTCAAGCCTTGTCTCTGTCTGTCAGTTCAAACATTGTCAGTGAGTGGTTTGGGGATGCTGTGGTGTGGGTTGCTCCCTCTTTCCTATCAAACATCTATTGTCCTTATCTCTCCTCCTGCATTTCTTTGTATGTTACCCTCTAGTAACACCTTTAATCTTCAGCTCTTATGTGACCTGTTTGTGTTACAATTGCTGTAAAGTTCTTAGAAATTTAAAACATTGTCTCTCTGTCTGTTCCTGTGATTTGTTCAAACTTTACCTCATCGCCTGTCCTGTGGGTGGTTGGAGGATGTCACTGAAATATGCATTGGAACCTGAAGACATTTAAACAACCCATAAACTGGTTCTTGTCCTGGTTGTTGCAGCTGAAGATCTCGGAGGGTGAGACCAAGCGGATGTCGCTGCGTGTGAAGCAGCTTCAGCAGGAGGTCAGGGAGAACAACGACAACATCGACCACAAGGCTGCTCAGGTAATGCCGCAGCTGTTTTTAATTGTGGGGACATAATTTTTTCTGGGGATGAGGTTAGTAAA